CTGCCTAAAACCCGGGGGGTGCTGAGATGGCCGAGAGCCCTGTTAGCCAGTATGCGCCCACAGGAACCAGTGGAAAGAGTTTCTTTGACTTCAGCTTTGGGATAAGCCCCACAACAAGCCACAGCCCTAAACTTTCATCATCCCTGGCTTAAAGAAAGCTTGAGAAGATCCAACCCAATTAATCCAGCGCAGACTTCCTTTTACTTAATGGGCCAAAGCCAGTTAGCACACGGGGTGAGACGGGCAATGGCGACTGCAGCGTCGCACCGGGCCGGTGGCGTCGCACCCGGGGTGAAATGGGCACGGTTTGCCCATACGTCACGCCGGTGCGAAACGCTCTTAGACGCGATAAAGGTTTATAGGTGAAAACTGCGGCTGAAACTCATGCCAAATCTCTTTGGCTTTTATGTTCTGAAATTAAGAACCAATTTAGCTCTGGAAAAAAAAGCAGGTTTTGAAAGAATCCAGACTGCAAACGCCATCGCTCCAGATCACCTCAGCCCCGGCGTTCCCTGGGGTCCCTCGGCAATGGCTGCTCCACAACGCGCATTCAGATGGTTCCTGCGAGTAACGCAGCAATGAACACCAGGGCGAGATGTGGGGTTTATAAAGGAAATACCCATGCCCAAAATGAAACAGAAAACCCGAAAATTAATTGGGGGGGGGGGGGGTGTGTGTGTTTACCTAGACTGGCCCTATTAGGGGGTGCTTACAATCAGCATATTGTAAATGCAGCCCAACGACTTGTTAGCGTGGCAATAAAAAAGCAGCACATGTTACATAAAACCGGCTCGTGTTTTAAGGCTAAACGATGAGCGGGAAGGAGGGAAGGTCCATTGAGTTTCCTCTCAGCATGAAACTTGGACACCGCCGGGGGACTGAAGGGCAAGATGCACCGGTGCCCTGCTGGAGTCAGCCGCTGCGGTGCTGGCGTTTGCCACGGCTGTAGCTGGGCGAGGGATGTTCAGGGAAGAAAAAATATCGCCTGCGACGGAGGAAACCGGAGCTGCTTCCGGGAAGCAGCAACTTCAAAGCTTTCTTCCGCAGCCCCAGAACGGGTTATATTTGTCTCTAGGGGACACCCTTAAAATAACAAGTCAGAGCAAGTTCCACAAATATCCAGGCGTTACTGCCAAGGCGTGCGTCACGTCAGGTCCGGGTACCCAGCGGGTGTGGGCTCTGCTGCAGCAAGGGCCACCCCAAAACCAGGCACCCCTGGCGAGCTGGCGTTGCTTGTAGCGTCCAACACTTGGTCTGTCCACGAAGAGCTCTGCGTAATTCATACCCTCGCATACTTGTGCATGCCTGAAATCATGCGGTGGCGTGCATTCAAGCCGCATGCGTGGCTGGGGACCGGCGTACGCACGAGGGGCAGAGCAGCCATGCGGGAGAGAGGGGAACCCTGCCTCACCACCCACCTCCGCGAAACGGCGTCTGGGGAGGAGGAAAACCCAGCCGGCACCAGTGTGAGCTAACACCGGAGCCTCTGGGAAACCGGGCTGGAGAGGGGTCCGGTCCGCTCCGGCTCCGGCGCGCACCGGCGTGGGGGCAGGGGCAGGGCAGGGCGGTGGGAAGGCACGGGGGGATGCCGATGCGCAGCAGGGACATGACATGGAGACACCACCAACACTTTTGAAGCACGTACTGGCATTTTTAGGAATGATGCTACTAAACAAATCCCCTGGAGAGCTGTAACCCGGAGCCTACTGCTGCGGAGGTGAATGCCCAGGGCAGCCTGGTGAGCCCTGCTCCGTGCCACAAGCAAACCGTGCAGGCACCGGCACCGGACACCCGTCACAGAACGTGAACATTGGCTTTGCTCTTCTGCCTCCAGGCCTCAGCCGAGGCCAGAGCCCCGTCACCTTTGGCACGTGCATGCATGGGACAGGGCTGCCCGTGTCGCCGGGAGCTTGCACCCTCAGCAGCGGGGCCCGCGGGGTGCCAAGGGAGACACAGAAGGGGTGGCTGGCCCGGCGTCACGCAGGGGTTAGCGGCAGCGCTGGAAGCTGAGCCGGTCTCTTGAGTCCTGTAACAGTGCTTCAGCCATTAGACAACGTTGCCTCAACACAACAAGAATAAACATAGCCACATTTGCCATTAATTATTAATGATTGTTATTTGGCCTCACCTGCTGCTGTTTGCCTGGTCTGATCTGCAGCTTGTTTGCCCATAAACATGCTGCAGGAGGGAGACAAGCTACCATTAAAGCCTGACAGCTTTGTTTCCTTGGCTTTTGGGGAACCAAAATTGTCTCTTGTCATCTGAGTAAACCAAAAGTCCCCCTCGATCTTCAGTTGCTGCTTTCCTGTTCTCGCAAGCAGCAG